CTGCTTTTGCTTTGTCACTTTATTCTGAGGTCTCTCCCTGTGCATCCTCAGCAGGGCTTTGCCATCCCCTTCTCCAAGGGAGAGGTGACAGGGACACGGTGATGCCACCAGCCTTCCACTGGCCCTGGAGAAGGGGGCTGCAGAAGGCTCTTCCTGCCCAAGGAGCACAGGGGGAGCACCCCAGAACCCCCCAGGCCATTCCTGCTGGGAACCTGGGGGTCAGGAACGCTTTGCTCCCATCCCTCCCTCCCTCCCTGCATCAGAGCTGGAGGTCGGGGAGCGCTGGGGCAGCACCACCTGCCCTGGAGCTCCTGGAAAACGCTGGGGGTTCTGAGGCCGGGAGCTTTGTCCGGGCATCTGGGAGCTCCAGGGATCCCTGCTGGGAATTCCGGCCGGGCTGGGGGAGCCCTGGGGGTCTGGGAGGGGATGAGGAGCCCCTGGCACGTCCCAAATCCCCAGCAAATCCCCAAACCCGCTCTGGGATCGGCACTGCACGGCCCAGCGCCGCCGTTCTGGGGTGGAAAATGGGAATTTCCCCAGCACTGGGGCTCGGGGGCTTCGTTCCGGCTGCGGAGGAGGCGGAACTCGGGATGGCAGAAGAGGCAGCAGCTACAAACCCAGGATGGGTAAATTCTTCCATGGAAACACTTCTCCTGATCCTTAATATTTTGAAAGGAGGGTGGTTGGTTTTTTTTGTTTGTTTTTTTTTTTTTTTTTGTTGTTGTTGTTGTTGCTTGGGGAGGGGGGGATAGAGATGGATCTCAATCTTTATACATCTGCTATAAGATATTTTTGCAAACAGAGTTGTATACAAAGATGTATTGTGTACATTTACATGTATATTCTGGAACTTCTAAAAAATTTGAATATTAAAAAAAACCCTGAAAATATTTAATTAATTATCCAAACTGTGAGACCCAATTAGCATCCACCAACTTCCTGCTTCACTTTTCTTTTGGACTGTGTTAAAGAATTGTAGTCGAATCTGCCTTTTTTTTTTCTTTTTTTTTTTTTTTTTTTTTTTCTTTTTAGAGACAACGAAGCTTAGGCAAAATTTTGTGCTTTTTGGGTTAATAGAAACCAGTTCTAGGTGATTTAAGTATGATCTTAACTTATTGATACTGTGTTTTACTTTGTAATATTGTACTGTGGATAAAAACTATATTGAGCCATGGAGTTGGAGTTTACAAAAGAGCTTTTCACTTTGCCAAAATGTTACAATTTCAAGGCAGCATAGTCTTCAGCTTTCCTAATCTTTTTTCTTAAGAGCTAGTGTCCTTTTTTTGTACACTAAAAAAGCTGAATGCTGATTTTGCAACATATAATAAATTCACTGTATTGGAAAACAAGCAGACAATAAGGTTGTGGATTTCTTTTCAGTGCTTCTCCCTGCAAGGAAACTCAAAAGGGAAAGGTGATAAATGGCTGGCGTGGAGCTTGGAAGCAGGAAACGGGAAGGAACCGGGTCACTTGAGCGAGCTCAAGTGTCAGAGCAGGGAGTAGGTGAGAAAGAGGAGAGGGAAGAGGAGCCTGGAGCGGGGCAGCTCCTTGGAACGCTGGGCTGGGCTCAGCCTCCAGCGCTGGCACCAGCTGGGGGCTCCCCACTGCAGCACCCTCGGGCATTTTGGAGGAAAAGCTGCTCTGGAGGAGGCTCCGGATGCTGCTGGGGGCTCGGGGATGCTCAGAAACCAGCGAGGGGAGTGGAGACAGCCTGGCACGGACCCTGCTGCAGCTCCCACCTCCTGCCCCCGGCCGAATCATCCCGGAGACGCTCAGGATGCAAAGGGCACCTGGGCTGTGTCCGGAGTGTCCCTTGCCTTGCTGGCACCGGGGGTTCCTCTGGCCCTGCCCTCAGCAGCAGCCCCGGGGCTGGATGGAGCCGGCACAATAAAACCAAGGATGAAACGACTCAGGAGTGCAGGGCTTTGGAGCAGCCGCTGTGTTGGTGCTGCCTCCCTCCTGAGCACAGCGAGCAGCACAAACTCAGGGCTGGAGGCCACAGGTGCTGCTGGCCCCGCGTTCCCGTGTCTGTAACGCGTTCCCTTGGGCTCTGGGGATTGTCCCTCCTAAACCGCACACGGTGGAGAAGGTGACAATCGTCCGGGGCTCAAATAACGCTGTACAGAGTCTTGGTTTATTTGTTAAAAGGTGTCCTTGTCCTTGCAAGCTGACACGGCAGCACCCGCACCGGGAGACACCGATGGGACTCGGCCACGGAGCAAGAGCTGAGCCCAGGCTCTTGCGAATCCCCGAACCCTCCAGTTTTAGTTTCAGACGTGGCCTCTGAGCCAAGCTCTGCACCCCGGGCCCCCTTCAGCCTCTGTGAGCCTCCCCCGGGGCGCTGAGCGGCTCCAAGGCCGGCTCTGCCCCGCGGCGACGCTCGCACAGGAAGGGTCCCCATCCCCTCCCAGCTTTCCTGGGGAATTCCTCCCAACCGCTGGCAGCTCCGGCGCTGCCCGGGGTCACGCATTGAGCTCATTAACTCGGAGCTGCCCCAGTGGAAATTTACTGGCTGCGTTCGCCGTGCCAGAGCCAGCCGGGCTCCCGCCGCCGCCGCCGCCTCCTTATCGGCCCCGCCGGGAGCCGGGGCCGCCGCACCGGGAGCATCCCCGCTCTCCGCGCCCTCCGGGCTGGCAAAACCCGGCGGCCGCAGGCTCGGGAGGAGCCCTGGCCTCTGATAATTCACCGATAACTCAGGTCACACTTGGGAAAAGTCACTTTGCATCGCATCGTGCGCAAACCGCCCCTAATCTGGGGTCACGCAGGCGTGGGAAGGCCCTGGCCACGTTTTAGGGGTGCTGGAAACCGATGACAGCGCTGTGGGTTTTTTCCTCCCGTGGTTTTTATTTTCCCCATGGGTTTTTTCCCCTGTGGATTTTTCCCCCGTGGGTTTTTTCCCTGGGCACCTTTCAGTGCTCGTGGCTCGTTTACAGGAGGAAGCTCATTAGAATAATTTGTCCTCGCCACGGTCCGATGGCGCTGGTCCCTCTCCCAGAGCAGCTGCTGCGCCTCCAGCGCCGGGCACGACCCCCAAAATCACCCCCTGCTCCCCCCCTTGCAGGCGTGGGCCCGACCTTGGGCACGCAGCGCCGGGAGGGCGATGGCACAGGGAGAGGGAGGAGGATGAGGAGCTGCCAGCAGGGACATAATGAAGGGCCAGGGCTTGGGATTGTGTTACACGAGGGGAAAAAACCCAACTGTGGAGGAAGGAAAACGTGGCAAGGGAATGCTGGGGCTGCTGCGAGGCACAAATCCGGGCTTGGCGGGGTCGGCCTCGACCTGTTGTGGTGGGGGGACAGAGGCAGGACCCCCCAGCCGAGCCCATCCAGCGCTCCCAGCATCTCCGGCTGCCGCGGGAGCAGCCCCTGAACCTGCTTAGAATGAAGTTTGGGAGCCCCCGGGGGGGCTGCGTGGCCTGGAAACGCATCCCGGGGCTGGGGCGGGGGGTCCGCAGGGAGCGGGGGGTGGGCTCCATTGCTGGCCCAGCGGGGCCGGTCGCTATGGCTCCGCTGCGGCTCCGCTGGCCCCCGGCCAGCCCCCGGCAGCTGGGGAGCGAAGGCGCTGGGCGGCCGGCCCGGGCTCCCGGCCCATGGACGCGTTGGGCGAGCGGGAACAAGGGAGCCCCGCTCATGCGGTGCCGAGCGTGGGAGGAGTGGGAAGGGAGTGGGGGAAGGAACAATGGTGGGAGTTATGGGAGGGGGGCGAAAAAAAAAAAAAAAAAAGTAAAAAAATAAGGGGGAAAAAAAAAAGAGGAAAGCAGTGGAAAAATACCAGTTCTGGGCCCCTGGCAGCGCTGCCCGGACCCTCCCCGCCCCAGGATTATTGTACAAAGAAATGTTATTTTTGTTTCAATAATTTGCTGAGGCACTGGCATTCCAGCGCGGGGCTCGTTTTGTCCTCCAGCCCGGCACCAAGGGATCATTGTTCCTCCATGGCCAAGGGGCCGGACGCGGCCCCCCGGCACCGCCGTGCCCTCCACCGCCGCCTCTCCCCGCGGCCGCCCGGCCGCAGGTGCCCTCCGGGGTCGGTCCCGGTGGGTCCCGTCCCGCTGCGTGCCGGAGGCTGGGTGGCGATGGCAGCGAGCCCCGAGGAGCGGGGTGGGTGGCGGAGGAGGGCAGAGCTGTCCTCGCCGTGTCTGCGGGGAGCGAGGGTGGGGAGGGGGCCGGGGCGTTGCTGCGGCTCCGGGGGCCCCTTTGAAGCGGGGCGGGCCATTGAAAGGCAGCGGGACCCCGGGGGCCGCCAGCGGGGGGGCGGCCACGACCCCTTTCTCTGCCCGGGCCCGCGCGGGGGTGCGGCCCCACACGGGCTCGGTGCCCCCCGGGGCGGACGGGGCTCCGCGGCGAGTCCGCCCTGCGGGCTCCGGGCTGCCGGGGCTGCCGGGGCTGCCGGGGCTGCCGGGGCTGCCAGGGCTGCCGGGGCTGCCGGGCTCCGGGCCGGGGACTCGGGGCTGCCGTGACTTTTTAGGGTGCCCGCGCCGGGGGCTCTGGGGTGCCCGTGACCTCCGGGGTGCCCACGCCGGGGGCAGCAGCGAGCGGGATAACAGCGGCTGCGGGGTGCCGGGGTGCCCCTGCCCGGGCAGCGCGGTGCCGGTGCTGGTGCCGGTGCCGGTGCCGGTGCCGGGCTGGCAGCCCCGTGGGAGCGGCGCCGTGGGAAGGCGCCCGCGGGTCCCGGGCGCAGGAAGCCGCCGGCCCGGGGCTCTCAATGGCCGGAAGGCGGCGGCGGGACCCCCGGTCCTGGCCCGGGACCGGCCCCGGCGACACTTCCCCTTCCCGGGTCAGCGGCCGCTTCCCCCTCCCGCCCCCCTGCCCCGGTACGAGCGGCCGGCGAGGTCCGGGGAGCCCCGCACGTGCCCCGGGACCGGGGGTCGGGGGGGGGGGGGGGGGTCCGGGGGGTCCGGGGCTGCCGGTACCGGTGGGCACGTGCGGTGGGGCGGGGCCGGGCGGGGGCGGGGCCGGGGCGGGGCCGCGGAGCCGATTAAGCGGCGGGAGCCGGGGCGGCCGCAGCGCGATCGCATCGTCCCCGCGGGGCAGCACCGGACACCGGGCACGGGACACCGGACACTGAACACCGGACACTGAACACCGGACACTGAGCACCGGACACCGAACACCGGACACCGGCTGTCGGCACTGGGCACGGAGCACCGGGCACAGGGTACCGCCACCGGACAACGGGCACCGGGCACAACCACTGGCACCGGACACCGGGCACCGGCACCGATACAGACTCAGACCCCGGCTCCGGCTCCTGCGCGCCCGGCGCGGCCCGGTCCGGTGAGTGCCCGCGGCGGGGCGGGACTGACCCCGGAGCGGTTCGGGTTTGCGGGTCCGTGTCCCCCCCGCCACCCCCGGGCGCTGGGACAGCGCTGTCCCCAAGTGCCCTTTCCCCCGGAGAGGACCGTCCTTGTTCCCACGTCTCCTGTGCCACCCCGGGGTGCAGGGACCGCCTCTGTCCCCGTGTCCCCTCTGCCACCCCGGGCAGTCCTGGTCGCGATGTCCCCTGGGACAGCTCTGGGAGTGGGAACAGCGCTGGTCCCCACGTCCCCTGCCCCATCTGTCACCCCAGGGCGCAGGGACCGCCCCTGTCACCAAATTCTCTGCATGCCTGGGAGCTGGGACAGCCTCTGTCCCTACGTCCCCTGCACGCTCTGACACCCTCAGCAGCAGGGACACCCCTGCTGTCCCCTGTGCGCCACCCCAGGGTGCGGGGTTGTCCCCACGTCACCTGGACGCGACCTCTGTCACCCCCAGGGATCGAGGGAAGACACAATTCCCCCCACAGTGTCCCCTGCACCCCCAGCCCCCCGGCGTGCAGGGACACCCTCGTCCCCTGGGAGCATCCCTGGTCCCCGCTGTGCCACCCCCAGCGAGGTGACACCAGGACGGTCCCTGCCTGCCCCGAGCAGGACCGTGCCCCCCCGGGCCCTCTGGGGCGAGGCTGCGCCCCCCAAACCGCCCCTGGCCCCGACCCGGGTGGGAAGGGGCCGCAGTGACCGTCCCAGCGCCACCACCACCCCGCAGGGCAGGGAGCCAAGGTCCCCACGGGCGGCAGAGCCACGTCCCAGCAGGGCGGAGGGCCCGGGGAGGGCCGGGGGGGTGGCCCGGCGTGCTGACACCCATTTCCTGCCATTGCAGCTCCAGGAACAATGGCAGAGCCATTCCTCGTGGAGAGCCCCAACGTCACCTACAGCAAGGACTTCATCGAGGCCAAGTACACCTACAGCACCGTGCACGTCTGCAAGGAGAACGGCGTCACCAAGGTGGGCAGGGGCTCCGGGGGGGCTCGGGGGGGCTCCGCTCGTCCCCGCTGTCCCCAGCTGTGCCCTCTCTCTGTCCCCAGGTGCGGCCGTGCTCCACCCGCTTCACCTTCCGCACCGGCCGGCAGGTGCCGCGCCTGGGGGTGATGCTGGTGGGCTGGGGGGGCAACAACGGCACCACGGTGACAGCGGCCGTGCTGGCCAACAGGCTGGGGCTCTCCTGGATGACCAAGACGGGCCGCAAGGTGGGTGTCCCCAGCCAGGTGGGTGTCCCCAGCAAGGTGGGTGTCCCCAGAGTGACCTCAGTGGCATGGGAGTCCTCAATGTGACCCCAGCGATGTGGGTGTCCTCAGTGTGACCCCTGCACCCACATCCCTGGGGTGTCCTCAGTGTGACCCCTGCAAGGGCCACGTCCCAGGGGTGTCCCCATAAGGACCCCCGTGATGTCCTGGGACCTGGGGTCACCCCACAGGGCTGGGGACACCCAGCTCAGCTGCCCTGGTGTCCCGCACCCCAATCCCCTCCCTGCCCCTGCAGAGGGGCTCTGCAGCCCCAGCCCCACTCTGGGGGTGCAGGGACCCCTCTGCCCCCCAGGCCTCATCCCTGCCTGTCCCATCCCAGACAGCCAACTACTACGGCTCCCTGCTGCAAGCCTCCACCGTGTGCCTGGGCACCGGCCCCTCGGGTGATGTCTACGTGCCCTTCCGGGACCTGCTGCCCATGGTGCACCCCAACGACATCGTCTTCGACGGTAGGTGGGGCACGGGGGGGCCCCCCGGCGGCGCGGGGCGCCCCGAGCGCCTGGGTCACCCCGTGTCCCCCAGGCTGGGACATCTCCTCGCTGAACCTGGCCGAGGCCATGCGGCGGGCGGAGGTGCTGGAGTGGCCGCTGCAGGAGCAGCTCTGGCCGCACATGGAGAAGATGAAGCCCCGTCCCTCCATCTACATCCCCGAGTTCATCGCCGCCAACCAGGAGGAGCGGGCGGACAACGTCCTGCGCGGCCCCATGGCACAGCAGGTCCGGCCGGGCGGGGCAGGGGAGGGGACAAGGGACACGGGGGAGGGGACGAGGGACACGGGTCCTGACGCGTCCCCCACCCCGCCTCGGCCGTGCCCAGGTGGAGCAGATCCGCAGGGACATCCGAGACTTCAAGGAGAGCAGCGGCGTGGACAAAGTCATCGTCCTGTGGACGGCCAACACGGAGAGGTTCTGTGACATCGTGCCGGGGCTCAACGACACCGCCGACAACCTGCTGAGGGCCATCGAGGTCAGGGGGCGGCCGGGGAGGGTGACACCGTGGGGATGGTGACACTCTTGGGAGGGTGACACCGTGGGGATGGTGACACTCTTGGGAGGGTGACACCGTCGGGATGGTGACACTCTCGGGATGGTGACACCGTGGGGATGGTGACACCGTGGGGATGGTGACACTCTCGGGATGGTGACACCGTGGGGATGGTGACACTCTCGGGATGGTGACACCGTGGGGATGGTGACACTCTCGGGATGGTGACGGCGCCCTGAGCCGCCCCGTGTCCCCGCAGCGAGGCCTGGAGGTGTCGCCGTCCACGCTGTTCGCCGTTGCCAGCATCCTGGAGGGCTGTGCCTACATCAACGGCTCCCCCCAGAACACCTTCGTGCCCGGGGCTGTGGAATTGGCCGCCCAGCGCCGCGTCTTCATCGGCGGCGATGACTTCAAGTCGGGGCAGACCAAGCTCAAGTCGGTGCTGGTGGATTTCCTGGTGGGCGCCGGGCTCAAGGTAGGTGGGGGCTCAATGGGGGCCCGTCCCCAGCTGCAGGGGACAGGGGGTGACCTCCCCGCGTGCCCCCTGCCCAGACCAAGTCCATCGTGAGCTACAACCACCTGGGGAACAACGACGGGAAGAACCTGTCGGCGCCGCAGCAGTTCCGCTCCAAGGAGATCTCCAAGAGCAACGTGGTGGACGACACGGTCCAGGCCAACCCCGTCCTCTACGGCCCCCAGGACAAGCCCGACCACTGCGTGAGTGGGGGGCCCTGGGGGGGTCACACGCACACCCGGGGTGGCAGCGGGGCTGACGGGGCCGTGGCTTTGGCAGGTGGTGATCAAGTACGTGCCCTACGTGGGGGACAGCAAGCGGGCGCTGGACGAGTACACGTCCGAGATCATGATGGGCGGCACCAACACCATCGTCATCCACAACACCTGCGAGGTGCGTGCAGGCCCCCGCGGCGTCCCCGCGGCGTCCCTGGGGTGTCCCCTCGGTGCCACGGCGGCCGCTGACCCCTGGCTGCCCGCAGGACTCGCTGCTGGCCAGCCCCATCATCCTGGACCTGGCCATCCTGACGGAGCTGTGCCAGCGCATCTCCTTCTGCACCGAGGCCGACCCCGAGTTCCAGGGCTTCCACAGCGTCCTGTCCATCCTCGCCTTCCTCTGCAAGGCCCCGCTGGTGCCCGAGGGCTCCCCCGTGGTCAACGCTCTGTTCCGCCAGCGCAGCTGCATCGAGAACATCCTGAGGTACCCGGGGGCCACCGAGTGCTGCCAGCCCCGTGCCCGCAGGGGCACCCACAGGGTGCAGGGGCTCCCAGGGTGGGGTACCCAGGGTGCTGGGGGGTCCCAGTGCCCACCGGGGGTGTCCAGATCCGGGGGGTGCTGGAGGCCAAGGCCTGGGGTGCCCGGGGCTGGGGGTGGCTCCCAGTGGCACCAGTGGGTTCCAGTAGGTGCTGGTGACAGTCCCAGTGCCCAGAGGTCCTGGAGATGCCCAGCACCAAAGTCCCAGCTCAGGTGGGTCCCCATTTCCCAGTCACGGGGTGCCCAAGGGGAGCAAGGTCCCAGTGCCCAGGGTGTCCCAGCACAGAGACCCTGGCACCCAGCGGGTCCCTGATGCCCCAGGGGATGCCCAAAACCAGAGGATCCCAGTAACCAAACCTTGGGGTTCCCAGTGCCAGTGACCCCCAAACCCTGGGGCTCCCAGTGCCTGGGGGTGCCCAACTCCAGTGGGTGCCAAATCCCACAGGTCTGAGCACCAGTGGGGTCCCTGCTCCCATTCCAGCTGCTCCCAGTGCCCAACACCTGGAGGTGCCACACTCTGGTGTCACCCAGTTCCCAAAGCTCATCACCCAGTGCCTGAACACCCATTCCAAACCCCCCCCAGTGCCTGAACACCCATCCCAACACCCCCAGTGCCTGAACACCCATCCCAAACCCCCCACACCCATCTCCTCATGTCCCCCACCCTCCAAGCCCCCTCCCCATGTCCCCCATCCCTCCCAAGCCCCCTCCCCATGTCCCTCACCCCTCCCGTTGCCCCCTCCCCATTCCCCGTTCCCACCTCCCCATGTCCCCCACCCCTCCCGTTCCCACCTCCCCATGTCCCCCATCCCTCCCCTGCCCACCTCCCCATGTCCCCCACCCCTCCCCAGCCCCGTGCCACCCCCCCATGCCCGTGGGTGCCCCCCTGACCCTCTGTGTGCCCGCAGGGCCTGCCTGGGGCTGCCCCCCCAGAACCACATGCAGCTGGAGCACAAGATGCAGCGGCCGAGCCCCAAGCGCGCCTGTCCCGGGGGGGCCGCGTGCCCCCTGGTGCCCAAGAAGAGCCCCCCGGTGCCCACCCAGCTCAACGGGCACCCCCCCTGCGCCCCCCGGGCGCCCCGCGCCCCCCTGCACATCGACGGCGCCGACTGACCCCAAATGGGGCTGGGCGGGGGGTGGGGGGCACGGGGTGGGCTTGGGGGGGGCAGTTCCCCCCCCCCCTCACCCCAATTGGGGATGGGGACTCCAAACTGTGAAGCTTCGCACCCACCAATAAACCCCGAGCGCACCGGGACACCCCCGCTCGGCTTCGGGGTCTCTTCACTTGGGGTTTGGGGTCCCTCGCTTGGGTTTTGGGGTCTCATCCGGTATTTGGGGTCCTCCTTGGAACCTCAGCCGGTTTTGGGGTCCCTCACTTGGGGTTTGGGGTCTCCCCGGTGGTTCCTTGGAATCTCAGCTGCTTTTGGGGTCCCTCACTTGGTTCCGTGAGTTCCTCCACCTGGTTTTGGGGTCTCTTCACTTGGCTTTTGGGGTGCCTCGCTTGGTTTTGGGGTCTCATCTGGTATTTGGGGTCCCCCTGGTGGCTCCGTGGAACCTCACCTGGTTTTGGAGTCCCTCACTCGGTTTTGGGGTCTCTTCACTTGGGTTTTGGGGTCCCTCACTTGGTTTTTGGGGTCTCATCTGGTCTTGGGGTCCTCCTTGGAACCTCAGCCGGTTTTGGGGTCCCTTTATTTGGTTCTTGGGGTCCCCCCTCTCCTTGTTCCTCTTCGTGTGGTTTTGGGGTCCCTTCACCCGGTTTTGGGGTCCCCCCCACCCCCAGTGAGACCCAAACATCGCCGCCTTCTGAAAAAAAATCAAATTACATTTATTGATGCGGGGGGGGGGGGTGTTGGGGGGGGGGGGTCGTGGATTTTTTTTTTTTTTGTCATTTTAGGGCTTTTTTTTTTTTTTGTTCTTTTTTTGCTCTTTTTGTATTTTTTCTTTTTTTTGGGTTTTTTTTTTTGTTTTGTTTTTTTTTTTGGGGGGGGGGGTGTTCCCCCATTTTGTTTTGATAAGCAATGGGGGGGGGGGCGATCTACAGGTTTAGAAATGAGGGGGGGGTCCCTACACAGAACAGAACTACGCCTATGGGGGGGGGGGGGGGGTCACCCCACTTTTGGGGGGGACACGAGGGGGGCTGTACAGGGGAGGGGGGGGGGGGGGTCCGGGTGTGCAGCGGCATTTTGGGGGGGGGGGGGGGGGGGGGTCTTGAGGAGGGTAAAGGGGAGGGGGGGGGGCTTTGAGGTCCTTTCTGTTATAAAAGAGGAAAAAATCAGAAAAAAATAAAACAACGAAAAAATAAAACCCGAAAAAATAAAACCAAACACCAAAAAAAAAAAAAAAAAAAAAAATTTAAAAAATTCCTTCATATGGAAGTGGTCCCTGGGGGGGGCAGCGGGGGGGGGCCCCGGTCTGGTGCTCGGGGGGGGCCGGGGGTCACAGTGCTGGCTGAGCACACAGACTGGGGGGGGGCGCTGGGGCTGGGGGGGCTGCTCTGCACTGGGGGGGCTGCGCCTTTGGGGGGGCACGGCCTGGACCCCCCCCACTCCTTCCCCCTCCCCCAGCACAGCCGGGATTTGGGGGGGGTCACACCCACACTGGGGGGGCTGTGCTGGGTCTGCCCCCCCCACCCCTTCCCAGGACTCGGGGGGGGGCACTGGGAGAACTGGGAGGGGGGGGGGGGGGCACAGCTCAGGGAACCCCCCCAGATGCCCCAAATTGGGGGGGGGGGGGGGATTGGCACCACCTGCCCTGGAGGGGAGGGGGGGGGCACAATGCCATGGAAGCCCCCCCCCAAAAAAAAATCCCAAAAATCCCCCTTGCCACGTGGGGGGGAGGGGGCAAAACACCTCAAAAATGCCCCTCAAGCCCCCCCCCCCCCTCAGCACCGACCCCGCCCTGGGGAGGGGGGGGGGCTGCGGTTGGGAATGTGTGGGGGGGGGTCCCAATGATGGGGGGGTATAAATGGGGGTCCCAGCATTTTGGGGGCTCCCAATGCTGGGGGGGGCATAAATGGGGTCCCAGCATTTTGGGGGGGGTCAACCCCAGTGCTGGGAGCGCTCCCAGTTTGGGGAGGGGGGGGGGGAAGGACTGGAACAGGAGGCTCCCAGTGCTGGAAAACAGAGGGGGGGGGGTCCCAGTGCTGGGGGGGTGGGCAGCAAATAAGTCACGTGACTTATTTCTAATCATCGTTATTATTTCTTTCTTTTTTTTTTTTTTTTTTCCTGCTCGTTTTTAGTGTTCGTTTGGGAAAAAAAAAAAAAAACACCAAAAAATCACACCAAAAAATAATAATAAAAAAAAAATTTAGAAAAAAAAGGAGGGGGCGGAACTGGGCGGAGGAAGAGGAGGGAGGGGGGCGCTGAAAAGGGGGGGGGGTTTGGGGGGGGGTTTGGGCGTGACGGGGCGGGGCGGGGCGGGGGGGGGGGCTCTGATCATTAGATCATTAAAATCAATGAATTTTTTCGTTTCGTTTTTGTGTTTTGTTTTGTTTTCGGTGGTGGGTGAGGGCGGTCTGGCTGTCGGCGGCCTCGGCTCACACGGGGGCTCACACGCTCATTGTCATGCTGGGCGAGTACTACAGAGAGAGCGGAGACACCACAGCGTTATCAGCGGGGCCGGGGGGGGGGCCCGGGTGATGGGGGGGGGGGCACACACACCGCCCCCCCCCCCCAGCGCCGCCCTCCTCATCCTCACACCTCGCTCGGCCAAGGCGCCCCCCCCGCTGCCGCTGTCGCCGCTGCCGGTGGTGGTGCTGATGATGATGATGATGCCGGTGGTGGCGGTGGTGGCGGTGGGGGTGACACCATCTGGGGGGGTCGCCAGTGCTGGGCTTTGCTCGCTGACCCCCCCCGTCCCCGGCCGCGCCCCCCACGGGCCCCCCGCCCTCTCCTCCTGCCCCCCCGGGGGTGCGCGGGGGTCCCCGCCGGGTCCCTTACGCTGTCGCTTTGGAAGGGATTTAGGAAATTGCTGCTCAGCTCGGCGTCGTCACGAGGGGTCCCGGGGGGGTTGCTCAGGGCCCCCAAATTACTGGGGGAGCTCTGGAGGGAGGGAGGGGGGACAAGAGTTAGTGGGGCTGGGGGTATGGGGGTGCTGGGGGGGGATTAATGGGGTGACAGGAGATGGGGGGGTGTCAGCACATGGGGGAACCCAAATAAATGGGGTCCCAAAAAATGGGGTGGTCCCAGTATATGGTGAGGGGCAATAAAGGGGGTTCCAGTAAATTGTGGGGGGCAATAAATGGGGTTCCAAAAAATGGGGTCCCAAAAAGTGGGGGAGCCCAAATAAATGGGGTCCCCATAAATGGGGTGGTCCCATAACATGGGGGAACCCAAATAAATGGGGTCACAGTAAATGGTGGGGGGCAATAAATGGGGTCCAAATAAATGGGGTCCCAAAAAATGGGGTGGTCCCAGTATATGGTGGGGGCAATAAATGGGGTCCCAAAAAATGGGGTGGTCCCAGTATATGGTGGGGGCAATAAATGGGGTCCCAATAAATGGGGTCCCAGAAAATGGGGTGGTCCCAGTACATGGTGAGGGGGAAATAAATGGGGTCCCAGTAAATTGTAGGGGGCAATAAATGGGATCCCAAAAAATGGGGTCCCAAAAAATGGGGCGGTCCCAGTATATATGGTGGGGGCAATAAATGGGGTCCCAGTAAATTGTGGGGGGCAATAAATGGGGTCCCAAAAAATGGGGTCCCAAATAAATGGGGTGGTCCCAATGAATGAGGGACCACGGCTTCCCCAGCACATTTACCCCCAGTAAATGGGGTCCCAATAAATGGGGGGGGGGGGTTCCCAGAATATGGGGGAGTCCCAAAAACGGAATCCCAATAGGTGTGGGGGGCTCCCAGTGCATTTACTGGGGGTCCCAGTAAAGGGGTCCCAGAGCATGGCGGGGATCCCAGCACATTGGAGATTCCCAATAAACGGAGGGCCCAGAACATGGGGGACCCCAATAAATGGGGTGCAGCACCGTGGGGGTCCCAGGGTCCCCAGCTCACCTTTGGCAGCCCATCCATGTCCCCGGAGCCTGCCAGGGTGACAGTGGGGCATTAGTGACCCCCCAATCCACGTGTGTCCCCAAATTTGAGTGTCCCTAACCCACGTGTGTCCCCCAAACTGTGTCCCCCATCCTCCATAATCCACGTGTCCTTCCCAAACCGTGTGTGTCCCTCAATCCAGTCCATCTGTGTCCCCAAATCTGTGTGTGTGTCCCCAAATCCGTGTCCATGTCTCCAAATCCCTGTGTGTGTCCCCTCAATCTGTGTGTTTGACCCCAAATCCCTGTTTGTGTCCCTAAATCTGTGTCCATGTCCCCAAATCCCCGTTTGTGTCCCCAAATCCGTGTATGTGTCCCCAAATCCGTGTACATGTCCCCAAATCTGTGTGTGTGTCCTCAAATCCCTGTTTGTGTCCCTAAATCTGTGTCCATGTCCCCAAATCCCTGTGCACATCCTCAAATCCCTGTTTGTGTCCCTAAATCTGTGTCCATGTCGCCAAATCCCCGTTTGTGTCCCCAAATCCCTGTGCATGTCCCTAAATCTGTATGCGTGTCCTCAAATCCCTGTTTGTGTCCCCAAATCTGTGTCCACAAATCCCTGTGTGTGACTCCAAATTTGTGTGTGTCCCCAAACCTGTGTCCATGTCCCCAAATCCGTGTCCATGTCCCCAAATCCGTGTCCATGTCCCCAAATCCATGCCTGTCCCCTCAATCCATTCCCCCTCCCACCCCCTCCTGCTGCACGAGCCCATCCAGCCTCAGAGGGAGCCCCAGTCGCGCAGGATTTGGGATTTTGGGGTCCCTGCTGTCCCCAGGGCTGTCACCCACCTAAGGACCCGTTCATGTGGTGCGGCTCCATGGCGCTCATCCCGCCCAGGGGCCCCTCGGCTCCGGGCCCCATGGGGAACTGCAAGGGAAAAGGGGGGGCTGAGGGGTGCTGGGGGACCCCCGGCCCTGTCCCCGGCCCTGTCCCCGGCCCTGTCCCCTCCCCTGTCCCCAGCCCCGTGTCCCCTCCCCTGTGGCTCACATTGGGCCGGCTCCCCGCGGGTCCCATGGGGTTCATCATGGTGTACATGTTCTCGCTGGAGTTGGTGGAGTCTGGGGGGG